TTCTTATTAAATAAATTTTTAACTTTATTCTTATATAGAATAATTTTCTCTATACCTTCGTCTTTATTTTTAAGTAAATACACATAAAAATATTTTGTGCTATCGTCGACAAAAATAATGAAGTACTTGTTATCACCTCTCGTTTGTACAAATTTTAAATCACATATATCGCTGTGAATTAAATCAAGTGATTATGTATTTTGTTCAATTAATTTAAAGGATGATCTTGACAATTTCACCACAATACAAGTTTCGCACTTATGTTTCGAATCAATATGGAAACGCGAGTATGCAAATCAAGTTAGCTAATCTACGTAAAGTATCGTAGTTAACATGTCTTAGTCTACCATGCCACAAACTAAAAGACTTGAGGAAGTAAGCAGAAGAATTAACTTTAATAATATTTGACTTCACAACCATTACGTTCAATTTAAACATACCATCTGAATCATAAACCTTTTCGACAAACATTCCACTCTTAGACAAAATGACTTTGTCTTATTCAAACACAATATAGAAACTATGCTTATCCAAAAGTGACTAGGACGCTAGGTTTTTGCGAATTTTCAGTACATATAGCACATTTTTTAGTGTCTGTTATTTCTTAGAAGTTATCTTCAGAACCATCTTTCTTTGACCCTTGATTCCAGAAGTTGCTGAAGTTTTCATGAACAACTTTTTTCATTCTCAATTGCTTTGAACGCAGTAAAACAACTCTTTATCATAGCACACATGTCTCGTAGCTCCGGTGTCAATCCACTACTCTTTTGAGTTTGAACTCACCATATTCATTTCAGAAATGACAGTTGCGAGATTTATCTCCGACACGTCATGTACCATGTAATCAACCACACTGGCTTCTTTCTTATTATTCTTCTACAACAATCTGCATTCCGAAAACTTACGGCCTACTTGTTCACACTTGAAGCATTTTCCTTTAAACTTCTTATTGGAAATACCACATTTTGGTCTCAGCTTAGTCCCTTTACCACTGAATGGTGCGTGCCTATTTTTATAGGTCTTACAACTTTGATCATATTCCACAATATTGGCTTTAGTCACACCAAAACATCTTATTTTCTGAATTTCAGTTGACTTCTTCGTTTCAAAACCTAACTATTAGATCTTTAATGTTCATTTCCTTTTACTTGTGCTTTATGTAATTTTTGAAATCTTTCCACGCTGGATGCAACTTTTTAATAATTGTAGTCACTTGGAAAGTTTCACTCAAATTCATCCATTTAGCATGAATCTCATGAAAAATCACTTGGAGTTCTTACACTTGACTTATTACAGTTTTGGAGTCCACTATTTTATAATCCAAGAATTCGCCGACAATGAATTTCTTAGCCCCAACATCCACGATTTTATATTTTCGGTCTAATGACTCCCACAACTCTTTAAAAGTTTTTATCGCACTATACACGTTGTATAGTGAATCCGCCAAGCTATTCATGATATAATTTCAGCACAGAAAATCCAAATGGTTCTAAGCATCAAGTGCGTTGATTGATTGGACATCCCTCTCGCCTTCATTGAGTTTTTGGGCAGTCTCGAATCTCATAAGATTCAAGGTGGTCAGATAAGTCAACATTTTTTGCTGTCACCTCTTAAAATTTAAGTCATTGAATTTTTTCGATTTTTCCCCATGACTAACCAGAGCAGTTATATTATGGTCACCAATAATTTGGCTCACAACATGACTTGACAATATAGCCACAATTTGAGCCAGAACATAATTGGCCCTTGAGCCACAACAGAACCCACAACCTGATTTTCAGTAGTCACAATTTAGGTCATATCCATGTTAGTTGATTTGGATGTCATTTCTGAAATATCAAGTAAGTTGAGTTAATTTTAAAATTATGTTGTTTTTAAAATATTTTTAAAATAATGTTATTTTCACAATTACGAAAATATTCTAATTTTTCACTAGATAAATATGCTATTTTTTTCAAAGCCGTTTGAAAATTATGCTATTTTCTCAATATCGAAAATATACTAATTTCTAAAAAAATGCATATTTTCAAACAAGCTATTTTTTCTCGATAATCGAATATCACTATACAGATAATTTTCAAAGAAGGCTAGAGGTGTCTAAGCCCAGCCTCAACAAGTCTAGTCTCTTTCGAAAATATTCATTTCTTAAATTGGTTGAAGGGGTCACAAATTGTCTCACTTAAAACTCATCCTCCTAGACAGAACTTTTCTATATTGTAACTTTCAGTTTTCAAGATTTTATAAATTTTGTGGAGAATATTATTTTCACAATAATATTTCTTTAAAATCGTGCACCTCATTCGTCCTTTGAGTCAAATCTGTTTTAAGATGTTAAAAAATGTATAAAAAGAAAATTAGAAATACTATTGGAATCGTATTAATAAAATAATAGATGAAAATGTTACAATAAACAGAGTAAGAATAAAATTAGAGGAAATTGTTGTTGAGGTAGTAACAGTATTGAAAGGAACTGATACTTGTATTGCACACAATTTCCTTAAAATAGATTTGGTTAAAGAGGACTAATGGCATATGTCTCCCAAAATACAACGATTGAAAGTAACTGACTAGCACATCGTCAATACTTTAGGTGAACTAAGAATACTCACAATTCTATCACCAAACTAGAACAAAGAACTAATTATCTAAATTATTAAGAACGAAACTCTTAAAACAAGGAGAAGGGAGAAACTTAGAATGATAAAAGAACTCTCAAATTTTTTTATTTTTTATTTTTTTGGTGTGAAGAATATGAAGAAGAACACATCTTTATGTAGTACTAGGATGAGGGAGGTTTCAATTTTTTTTATTAATTTTGTATTTAACACAAATAATGTTACAATATGCATGAATGAATTTGTAACCACAAA